TCTGGTGAAGGTATCCGTCCCGACCCTAAGAAAGTTCAAGCTTTGGTCAATCTACCTTATCCTAAAAACGTCCGAGAACTTCAATCCCTATTAGGATGTTATAATTACTTCAGTCGATACATCCCGAATTATTCATTCATCGCTGCTCCTCTTTATCGACTAATTTCTAAGGAAAGAAAATTTAAAATTTTACCTGCTGATAAAATCGCTTTGGACACTTTAAAAAAGTCACTTCTAAATACAACTCTATTGGTTCATTATGATCCAAAACTAAGACGAAAAATCGCCGTCGATGCCTCAGATATCGCCGTTGGTGGTATTCTTCTCCAAGAAGATTGTAAATCCCCAAATTTCAATCCCGAAACTCCCATCGAAGAAGTTAAAGATTGGTTACCGGTAAGCTTCTTTTCGCAAAAACTTTTGAAGCATCAACTCCATTATTCAGTTTCCGAGAAAGAATTGTTGGCAATTCTCGTTGGTGTCTACAAATATAATCATTACCTAGAAGGTGATAAATTCTTGATCGAAACCGATCATCATGCCCTGTGCCAGTTAACTAAGATTAACTTTAAAAATTCTCGACTACAGAGATGGTCAATCATGTTATCGACTTATAATTTTAAGGTCATTTACCGAAAAGGTAATACCCATCCTCCTGATTGCTTCTCTAGATATCAATCGGAATGGGAACATCGAAAAATCATTGACCCAGAGGAAGAATTCCTAGATAAAATATTCTTAACTGAATATGTGTTTGATTCCGAAGATTATAAATATTATGATCTTGGTTTAAATCTTGTTAATCTAACTCTTGAAACTCCAGTTTTTGATATTAATCAATTCAAAAATCCTCCTATCATTTTCTACTCAATTGATAATCCAATCGATCAAATTAGATCTGAAAAAAGTTCTACTCCTGCTGATTTTTCTCTATGGAAGGAAAAAATTCGTCGTCGACAACAAGATAACTCAGTTATCCAAGAGATTATTGAACAACTCAAAAATCCCAATTCTGTATCATCTAAAAGATACTCAATCAAAGATGGACTTGTTTATCGAAAAGATATCAGAACTCCCTTCGGTGCAAGATTGGTAATTGATCCCGTTACTTTAAAAGAAATTTTCAACGTTGAACATGAATCAACTCTTGGTGGACATTTTGGTACCGAAAAGACCTACTTGAATATTGCTCGTCGTTTCTGGTGTAAATATCTATACGAAGAGATCAAAAAATTGTGTGATTCTTGTGTTACATGTAGCATCGCTAAGCCCACTAACATCATCTACATTGATCCCGCTGCTAAGCCAATCCCTAAAGAGATCTTTCAAAGATTTGAACTCGATGTTCAGGGTCCTATCACTATCAATAACAGTAAGAAATATATTCTTGTCATTGTTGATGTTTTGTCTCGATATGTTTATGCAAGGTTAACATTGAATCAAACCGCTTCTACCGTTATAAATTTCTTAACTCAGTTCTTTAACCTGTTTGGTTATCCGACTCATATCCAAACGGATCAAGGAACTAATTTACTTTCAGATTCAGTAGCTGAATTTCTTAAGAAAAATGGTATCATTCATGATATTTCTTCTCCTTACCATCCTCAATCTCAGGGAATCGTTGAACGATGCAATAGAACTATTGCTGAAAGACTCAGAACTTACGTTGTCGAAAATGGTACGAAAAATCTCAAAAACGCTCTCGAAGCATCGCTTTATGCAATCAATTCTTCCGTACACAAAATAACTCGATTCAGTCCCTATTTCTTAGTTTTCGGTAGAGAACCGAATAAACCGTTAGACAATCATTTGTCAATCTCTCATCATCCTCAAGTTAATGTTTCTCAAGCTAGAAAATTAGCCTTCGCGACTAAAATCGCAACAGTTGTATCAGATCAATCGAACGAAATTACTTCATCATCAATCTCCATACAAACTACAAGATTTTGTTTGGGTGAAAAATGAATCAATAGATTCCTCCGTTTCAAGAAAACTCAGACCCAAATATCATGGACCTCATCTAGTCTGTGGAATCAAGAAAGGGTCATTACTATTATTAGATCTCGACGATCTTGGTTTATTCAATGCTAATGTATCGAATACTAAGTTATTCAAAGGCGAAATTAGCGAAGAAATGAAATCTCTTAGAGATGCTTATTTCAATCCAAATTCTTATTTAGAAACTGAAAATTTCGATACCCCTGAAATCAAAAGATTAGCAGATAAACACTTACAATCACTTAGTGATACTGAGAATCTTGATTCTAATATTCAAGATTCTGTCAATTCTCAATTAACCGATAAGATTCTGAATGGATCTTCATCTCTCTCGACTCTAGAATCTAATTCTAATTACAATCCAGTTACCCTAAAAGGTCTAAATGATTTCTCAACTGATTCAATGAAAACTTTGGATGAATATTTTCCTGACAATTCTGAACAATCGACAGATATAAATCTTGATCACTCAAGTGATATTAATTCTAGTCAGTTAATTCCAATTGTTTCTAAGAAACGTAGATATCAAACTTCAGATCAATTGATCACTTCTCAATCCAAAAATATTCTAAGTAATCAAACTCGTCCATTGACTAGAAATCAAGCAAAACAAAAAATCTCATACATTTTGTATTTTTCTCTCATGCTATCATCTAATGATGATAATACAAATTCTGAAAGAATTTTAATGAATTCAATTGTCCATGAAATTAATTGTAATAGATACTTGAAGTATATGAAAATTTTCTTCGAAAATCGAATAATTAATTTTAATTATTGCTCTTTGACAAGTGAAGGCGTTGGTGTCGCTCCATTGTTCCCGCTTTTGTCTTTCTTTGTCTCCCACTTAACCCTTTGCTCATCAAGTGTTAACATTAACATTTTCTGTTCAATTTTTCTCTTTGAAAATTCTATTCTTTTTGAAATTAATCTCAGTGAATTCTGTTATAACTTAGTTATCTTTTCACCTAAATTCTCAGTCAATTTCAAATTCTATTCGAATTGTCGAATTCTTCTCTCTTCTTTTCTCTCGAAAATTCTATCAACCAATAATCTCAATATCTTAAGCTTTTCAACTCTAAGTGTTTGGTCAACCATTTTGTCTCTTCATAGCTTAGCTATCTTACTCTTCATTAATCATCCTCTTAATTGCTTAATTGAGCATCTTAACATGAGTCACCAATTTTCTGCGTCTAGAAACGCCATTGAGATGGATATAAACAGCTCACCTTCGGTTGACCGAGTCAGTGTCGCTTCTTCTCGTGCTTCTAACACTTCACCTCTTGGTAATCATCGTGTGTCGTTTAACTTCAATTCCTTAATAGAGGATTCATCTGATTGTGATTCTGAACATTCAATCGTTTACCGACCTGGTAGACCTGGTACACCTCCAATTCAAAGATTTCCCTGTTACACTATCGCTTCACCAATAAGATCTAATCTAACCCCTGAAATTGTTCAACAATATACTCATCATTTGGATTCTGTTCAATTGGAAACTCGAACTGTTTATCCTCCGACATCTCTAAAGAGATCTATTCCCATGGATTCAATCAATTCTGAAGCTCCATCTCAACCGAAACAATCGAGAGAAAGTAAGAAGAAAGGTAAAGTTGTAACTTTTTCGACCTCTGAAACTCAAACCAGTTCATCTCCTCGATTGAATCGTTACCCCAAACCAGGTGAATTTCCTGGAGAAGAGGATGAATATCCTGCTCCTCTTCCAACCGCTCAACAGCCTAATCATGTTTCTCGATAATTATCGTCGAATTCAACAGTTAGTCTGAATCAAAATGAAGGTTTTAAACTATTTATCGTAAATATGAACAAATGATTAGAGAGAAAATTTTCCTCAATCTCTACCAAGATAATTCTATCTATTCTATTCCTTTGCCTAAGATTCCTAAAGGAATATCAAAATCTTCCGTTTACCATAAAAATCTTGAAGATTTCATTTTATCAATTAGATGCTTTTTCTGTGAGCAAGTAGCTCTTAATCCAGTTGAATGTTGTTCATGCCTTAATTGGTATTGTCTCAACTGTGTTAATTTTTCTCAACAATTAATCAAAATTCTCAAATTAACCCCAATTTTACAATCAAATAAGTTCATTTGTCTCAATCCGTATTGTATCAAGACTTTCGCTGCAATTGACAATTATCCAACTTATAATCAAATCTCTTATTCGGAAAATTATGTCAATTATCGTTCATGTAAATTCACATGTAGATTTACTCTCTGTCAAGAGTCATTCGCCCCTAAACTACTCAATGAACATGAATCGAATTGTCGACTTGGTTTATTCCGTGAGGAAGTTGATCTTGATACAATCGAATTGTTTCACAGAGGTTCTTCTAATAAAGAATTATCCCTTATCGCCCCTAAGCGATTAATGAGCTTCATTCCCCAACACATTAAAATCGCTCCGAAACCTCAAGTCACCTATTCTACCCATCAACATGATTTCGACTTGAAATTTGAACTTTTCGCTTGTCTCATGATTAATCGTGAGGAAAACCCTGACGATCCTAATCTTTCCCCTGATAAAATTCGTTCTTATGCTAATGTTAAACTTGGCTTCTGGACGACTTTAATAAATCTAGAGACCCTACTCTCCCTTAGCCGAAGAGGAAGAATTTTGAGACAAATCGGCTTCCCGCCGATAAATTCTTATGACCCTGCCTTCTCGACCTCATACCATTAAATGGTCTCATGTTCCTCAATACCTTGTAAACGATTCAGAGGAATGGCTCAGAGTTTCAGAAGGAAAATTCAGTTACAATCGACCCTGTTCTCGAATAAGTATCTCTGAAGATGCTGGTCATCCAATCAATCCATTCACGAAAATTAATCCTCTACTAAGGCTGAAACCAGAAGAACAAGATAATGTTCGTCAATCAATTAAACAATGGTTTCATTCATTCGAAAACCTCGTAGCCTCTAAAAGGCAAAGTGGCCTGAAAATTGGGCTTATGCTCTAACCATCAATCAACCCTGAATATGATGAATTTTCATGTGTCACCCTTCACGTTCACACTAATCTATCCCAGAGTCGCTGATCAAATTCATCCATCAGCAAGTTCATCAAAACAATCACCTAAAAGTGATTCTCATCAGAGATCAACTAAAGACTCTAAACCTTTATCTCCATCCCAAGAATCTGAAACTTCAGAATCAACCTCATCATCATCTACATCTACATCTTCATCCACATCATCATCATCATCATCATCATCTCAATCTAATCACCAAAACTCACCGCCAATATTTGCCCTTGAAAATAACCCAGAACCTCAACGATTATCTCCAGGAATTGTCTCAACTTCATCCGCTCCTCCATCATCTCAACCATCTACTCAGGAAACAATTCCAACATCTTCATCTCAAGAATCAAATGATCAAGAAATTTATCCTTCAAGTTCGACGTTCAATTTTTATCCTGTTGGATATTTTCAAGAACAATCAGCAAACTCGAAGGATCCAAAGCCGAATTCTAATGGACTATCTTGATCAAAATCGTGGAATTGAAGGGTAGAAAACCTGAATCCATCAGAATTCCAATTGTATCGCTATTACGATTTTCTGATTTCTTTTTCATTCATTTTGTTTTCTTATTTTCTTTTTCTTTTACTATTTATCATTTAATGATCTTCTTAATTGTCGCTTAATCATTCATATTGACCTTAATCTGTTAATCATCTTGATTAACTTGAACACTAATATGTTATTGATTAGCTTAATTAAGCTTAATTAACCAAATTTCATTCATATTTAACAAACAACCAAAAATTAACCAAATTACGATTATCTTATAACTACAATTATCTCAGATAATCAAACAACTTTTCTTAAATTTCAATATTTCATGTTTCTAATTACATCTATTAATGTTTCTAATCATGATGATTCTTTTCCCTGAATTGTTCAGTTCTAATAAGAACTTCCAAATAGTACAATTAATAGATTGTAAAAATTTCCATTGTTTTCTCTTGTTTCTTAACATCACTAAAAAGTGGCAAATTGAGAAAGAGAAACAAATTTCCTTTCTTTTTATCTTTCTTTTTATCTTTCTTTTTGTAGCTCTATTAAGCTTAACCCTCTTAGGTTAACATGTTGAAAGGATAAGTCAGAAGACAAAGATTATTGTCTCCATCTTATTATCTTCCAAGATGAGATCACTGAGTGATGTTGGCTTTGTAAAGCTTAATCAATTTTCCCTCGTTAATTGTAACCATTAATTGTTTCCCCCAAAATTTGATTTTCAATTTTATGTTAATCATTAACCTCAGTTTGATTTAGTTGTTAATCTATTAAGATTAATTTCTTCTCTTTGTCATTTTCCGTTAATTTTCAATTTTCAATAAAGTTACTCAAGTTAAGTAATCACTTAGTGATATTCATATTCTAATCAAGAATTGTGGAAGTGTAATCCTGAAAGATCCTGTGAATTATCTGATTGTGACAGATTTTCTCCTGAACCTTTTGATTCAACCATTGAATCTCTTCGAGATAAATTCTCATTCTAATTCCAATCAACGGAATTATCTACAATTGTGTTTCCTATTCTCACAGTACGCTTAGCTATGGATTGACCAATGTTACTATAAGTCCAGTAGTAATGAGTGACTATTGTGTCTTCTTGAATTACTATCCAAACTCGTCCACCCCTTCAATTAACAAGGGAATTCTATCAGCATTTGAAATCATCGATTATTCTGTTTACCTGCTCATCTCATTGTTGTTCATTCTTGTTTTTTATTGGTTATATATTTCATGAGATCATATTCGATAAATGCAGCTGAAAATGGACAATCTCGACTCCGAAAGTTTCTATTACTGATTAAAAGTAAATTTGGTTTAGTCTTGTTTATTTTCTGGTCACTATATTTTCCATCTATTTTCAACATCGTTCACGACTGAATACTCGATATCCTTACGACCACCTCCAATCAACAAATGGTCTGACCTAAATTCACATCCTAGAGTTAATTGCATCACTCTCGACCCGTCCATTTGCCTGGGGCGAGTGAATGAAGAATATGGTTTTCAAATCCCTCATTCCTATCACAAGTGCAGTTTTCGAATATTTTGGCCAAAATCTTGATAAACCAATTTTACCACTTTTTTCAACACAATTTTTCTTATCATTTCACTACTGTTTTGTGGCAAAGCTGGATAACCATGGGGTCAATAATTTTCTTTACCATGCTGGTACACGTCAATATTATGAAGATTTGTATGCACTCATTTATAACACCAAGAACCCTCATAAGAAACGTTGGATTATGAAATGTTTATACGCAAGTATTGATCAAGGATATTGGGCTGTTACCTCAGATCGAGTTTATATCAAGATTTTTGGTCCTTTGATAAGAAAAGATTATCCACAATGTTGGCGCTTCGAAAAGCTTAATACTCAACCTCAAAGTTCATATCGACCAATTAGCTATTCTAATTTCTCTGGGTTGCTTTATCTTTATTTGTCACTCAATTCTCTCGCGTTTTTCGCATTTATCATTGAACATCTTACCATGAAATTGACAAAACGATATCCTTTGGTTTTTGGAAACCTTCAGCAAGCTGGGTGGAACTAATTATCAAATCGCTTGGTCATTTCGGTCTCGTTCATACTAGAAGCTCGATTGATACTTCAGGTTGTTTTAAATAAAAAATCATCTATACAAAAATAATAACAGAGAAATAATTAATATGATGAAAGATATGGTTCTAACGATTGTATTGATTTTAACTTTTGTTCTAATTAGATTTGGCTTAAAAAGATGGAGTTACAGTCGATCAATTTACTCGATATTAGAAGTTGTATCTATTACAACATTGGACCAAGAAATGTCAAAATAATGAAGTTCTATCAGATCGAACTTCTCATCTAATAACTTTAATGGACATTTATCGAAAAACCATTTTCAAACAGTCTTCTTATATTAATTTACATAAAACTCATTCACAAAGATACAGCCAAAGACTTTGAGTTTGCATAAATTTTTAATCATTTGAGACGGTCATCTTATCACTTAAAGATAAATTCAAAACAAAGATAAAATTATATGTATCGATATTGGAAAAAGTTAGATATCAAAATTAATCTTCAATTGATTACCATTACCTGCGCGAATGATTAAAAATTTATGCAAACTCAGCACTTGAGCACCATAAATACACATTATTGTAATAATTAAAGTGAATTTCATTGAATTATTTTCTTGGGATTAAGTTGAAATGTCAAATACTAAGTGAAATTAAGAACACAGAAAAAGGGTTTAAAACATTAAGTGTTACAGTTAATCGTATAATTTACCCATTAGGAACAATAAATTATTTCGTTTGAATTGTTAAATACTAGATAGAGATTTTGTAAACTTCCTAACTAATTGAAGGAGCTGCCCTCTTGATTGTTAATTATTACATGCATCAAATTAGTTAATTGCCTTCCAAGTGATTGTACTTTTGAAATTCTAATCAATAAAATAAAATGAAGATAGAAAATAAATTCTGACAAGAAAATCATCGGAGAGAAACTAAAACCTTCGGATCATTTTGAATTTACTCTCGAAAGTTTAAGTTTTGACTGAAATTTTTATTTCGAAGCTCAGATGAAAATGAATTTCACTCAAGATTATTTTCAAATTTTCTACACCGTTTTCAAAAAGGATTTAAATCCGAAAAGTGAGATGTTTAGTTTGTTCCTTGCTTCCAACATTTTAGGCAACGTTCCAGTAGAATTTACATTTATTCCAGAGAATCGTGCAAATGAAAGTCATCTCTCGATTCTTTTATCGGGAAATTATGATCTGATGTTTAGGGAAAAAAACATCCATGAGTTCAGCTATGGATTGACCAATGTGACTATGAGTCCAGTGTTAAAGAGTAGCTATTGCGCCTTCTTGAACTTCTATCCAAACTCGTCAGCCCCTTCGATTGACAAAGGAATTTTATCATCATTTGAAATCATCGATTATTCTGTTTACCTTCTCATCACACTTTTGCTTATTCTTGGTTTAATGATACGTTCCATTCGATCAATTTCGATAATTGGAGATAGAAACGAGAATATTAACAAATCTCGACTCCAAAAGTTTCTATTGCTGTTTAAGAGTAAATTTGGTTTACTCTTGTTTCTTTCTTGTTCATTTTCTGGTCATTACATTTTCCATATATTTTCAACATCTTTCACGACTGAATACTCGATATCCCTTCGAGCCCCACCAGTCAACAAATGGTCTGACTTATACCTCAACCACAGAGTTAACTGCACTACTTTTGCCGATCTCCTTGCCTGGAGCGAGTGGATGAGATATGGCTTTTCAAATCCTCTCATTTCTATTTCAAGCTCCAAATTTTATGAATATTTTCCCAACAAACTTGACAAACCAATTCTGTCACATTTTGGTATAGACTATTTGGTTTCATCAGTTTTAACACAATTTTGTATAGTAAAGCTAACAAACCATGGGGTCAATAATTTTCTTTACCATGCTGGTACAAGTCACTATTATGAAGATTTGTATTCACTCATTTATAACACTACGAATCATTACAAGAAACGTTGGATTATTAAATGTTCATATGCAAGTATCGATCAAGGGCTGCCACTTACGCTCGAGCTCTTAGAAAGATTTATGGTCCTTGGTTGAGAAAAAATTATCCACAATGTTGGCGCATCGAAAAGCTGAAAGTTCATACCAACCAACTAACTATTCTAATTACGTTGATTTTCTGTATCTTTATGCATTTCTTAATTTCCTAGCATTTTGCGTCTTTATCATTGACCATCTCATTATGAAACTCAACAATCGATGTTCACTGGTGTTTGGAAACATTTAACAAGCTAAATTTTCTTAATAAAAGCTTGAAGCTACTTCGATTGGTGCTTTGATCATTTACGATTTATATTCCTATGAAGTATTTGATGCCATTACCAACAACAATTGCTTGATAATTGAAACCGTTAAAGATGTCGAAATATTAAATGAGTGAAATTAATAATTAGTATAATTATTCCGATATGATAGAGAAAGTTATTGACCCCATGGTTACAATTACATTGTGGTACAATTAACTCTGGGATGTGAATTTAGGTCAATTGTCAATTGAAGGGGTCGATGAATTCGGATAAAAGTTAATGAAGACACAATAGTCACTCATTATTATTGGATTTATGGATACATTTCTCAATCCATAGTCAAAATGACGTATATTTTCATAAACAAACAGCAGGTCATAATCTCCTGACGAGAAAACATATTGGTAACTTTCATTTTTACGGCTCTCAGGAAAAAATATAAATTCTATTGGAACGTTGCCTAAAAAATTAGACATAATGAAAACAAAACTTTTCGATAAAAATATGGACCTTGGTCATACATAAGTTATCACTTAGTTAAGAAAACTTTAAAAGGATCTTGTGTGAAATTCATTTCATCTGTGTTGGTTTAATTGAGATCTTTAAATTGACATAATTTAACTAAATTAGTAACAATTTACTCTTCGCA